CCAGTCTGTTGTATTTGTCAACTGAACTCAAGACAAGACATGACAAGTCTAGCATAGTCAAGTCTGACAAGTCAAGTCTAGTCTATAGTCAAGTCAATTCTATAGTCAAGTCAATCCTATAGTTAAGTTAAGTCTATAGTCAAGTCTAGTCAAATCTCGTCAACTCTATAGTCAAGTCTAGTCAAATCAAGTCTAGTCTATAGTCAAGTAAAGTTAAGTCAAGTCTATAGTCAAATCTAGTATATAGTCAAGACAATTCTAGTCTAGTCTATAGTTAAGTCAAGTGTAGTCTATAGCCAAGTCAAGTCTAGTCTATAGTCTAGTCTAGTCTTAGTCTAGTCTATAGTCAAGTCTACTCTAGTCTAGTTAAGTCAAGTCTAGTCCAGTATAGTCAAGTCTAGTCAAATCAAGTCTAGTCTATAGTCAAGTTAAGTCTGACAAGTCAAGTCACCTTTATTTATATAGCACACTATAGCATTTATATATATCAAAGCTGCTTTACAGTGCTAATAGAAAAATAATAATAATACAACAAAGGTTGTTTCTGCTGTGCAGCAGGTCTAGTAGAAAATGGCGTCATAGTCCAGCTTGAGTAAGTTCAGTGATGCTTCATTTTTGTTGTAAAAAAGTTATTAATTTAGTTCATTTATATATATATAGCCGCTCTGGAGAAAACAGTGATGTCATCGTCCAGCTCAGTTCAGTTTCATATAATAGTGTGAATGCAGGAGATCAATAACAAGCCAAAAGCCAAGGAACCAAAACTCCATCGGTGACAGAATGGAGAATAAAACCTTGCTCAGTTCTCCTCTGGCCAACGAGTGCACAGTGTACTGTATGATTATGATTCAGGTCAGAGGTCACATTGGATCAGAACATTTAGACTATTTATCCAGTTCTCGTCTCCTCAAACTGCCAGCTCTCATTAACAATTAATGACTTCCAGTCGCTTTGTCACTGCAAACGGCTGTCAGTGTGAACACACTCGACTCGTTCATTTTCTAAGCGAGTTGGTGATCGCATGCGACGCGAGCAACAGCGACCCTTGGCACTGAGACAGAGACACAACCTGCATGGGTTTAATTACTGTCACGTATTTAACGGCTCTGTGTGAGTTGTGTGGGCAAGTCTGGGTCACCTTCATTCACCGCGGTAAATCAGAGGCTGAGGGTGTGCATGCACAAACAACTCCACTTATTTATTTATTTTTTGTTAACAACTGAGTATTGAGTTTTCTTTTTTTTTTTCAAGAAATACAAAGCAAAAAGCAACTATACAAATCTTAAACCCACTCTGCACCATCACACCCCTGGTAGCCTTCAGGAATATACAAATGAATACAAACACAGACTGTAGACACACAAATATGAAGAATATGTTAAAAACTTGACACAATATCAAAAGCAGCATGCCATAAATTTACAGTCTTGAAATTGGATCCATGTATACGAGTTGCTCCATTGATATAATGTCCAACAGAGACACTGTCCATGTTCGTCTGTCCAGGATTCCAGCGGTTAACTAGACAAAAGGTCTAACAGTAAATATCTTTGTTGAATGGATAAGGAAAGGTCCCAAAAATCGTAAAAAAATGGCGTAGCTCCTGTTATTTTTGAGAGCGTTCAATGCACTTTTTTTGATCGTGTACAATAATGCACTACTCAAAAAAACTAAAAATAAACTAGGAAGGTTGTGCACTTTACATAATATATTTATTTATTTTTTGACTTGAAATGGGTTTTTTCCATTAAGGTCTATGTAATTACGTCTCAACTTAACAGTACAAAAGCCTAAAGCGTTGTCTAAACACAAACCATTTATGTTAAGTAAAAAAATGTTTACATCCGTTACGCCCTATATATGTTTATATCCGGCGGCACTATAGTGCGAGCCGACTGCCATTTTGCCCAAACTTTATTTGATCGTGTTCAATCTGCTTAAATATATGTAGAATTTAAGTTTACTTAATCCGTTTGTGTTGGATTACAGGATTGATTTGTGTTGCATTAACTGAAACTGGGCTGTGTTAGTTCCCAGCATGCTTTGTTTGAATATGGTTGAATTAAGAGAGAATAAATATTAAATTAAGTTTAGTTTTTTTTTGAGAAATTTAGAAAAGGGGAAGACTTGATGGTGTGTAATTTGGGTTTAATGTTAAATTACATTGGAATTAATAGAACCATTTAAATTACAGTGGCAATTCTGACTTTATATCTCGCAATTCTGACTTTATATCTCGCAATTCTGACTTTATATCTCGCAATTCTGACTTTATATCTCGCAATTCTGACTTTATATCTCGCAATTCTGACTTTATATCTCGCAATTCTGACTTTATATCTCGCAATTCTGACTTTATATCTCGCAATTCTGACTTTATATCACTCAATTTTGACTTTATATCACGCAATTCTGACTTTATATCCCGCAATTCTGACTTTATATCTCGCAATTCTGACTTTATATCTCACAATTCTGACTTTATATCTCGCAATTCTGACTTTATATCCCGCAATTCTGACTTTATATCTCGCAATTCTGACTTTATATCTCGCAATTCTGACTTTATATCCCGCAATTCTGACTTTATATCTCGCAATTTTGACTTTATATCTCGCAATTCTGAATTTATAACACGCAATTCTGACTTTATATCTCGCAATTCTGACTTTATAACACGCAATTCTGACTTTATAACACGCAATTTTGACTTTATATCTCTCAATTCTGACTTTATAACACACAATTCTGACTTTATATCTCGCAATTCTGACTTTATATCTCGCAATTCTGACTTTATAACACGCAATTCTGACTTTATATCTCGCAATTCTGACTTTATATCACGCAATTCTAACTTTATATCACGCAATTTTGACTTTATATCTTGCTATTCTGACTTTATATCTCGCAATTGCAACTTTATATCGTGGGATTCTGACTTTATATCACGCAATTTTGACTTTATATCTCGCAATTCTGACTTTATATCTCGCAATTGCAACTTTATATCGTGCGATTCTGACTTTATATCTCACAATTGCGACTTTATATCTCACAATTCTGACTATATCTCGCAATTCTGACTTTATATCTCGCAATTGTGACTTTATAACATGCAATTGCGACTTTATATCATGCAATTCTGACTATATCTTGCCATTCTGAGAAATAAAGTCAGATTTGCGAGATGTAAACTCGCAAATGTGAGAAAAAAAATCAGAATTGTGAGATAAAAAGTCGCAATTACCTTCTTTATTTTTCATTAAGTGGCGGAAACAAGCTTCCATAGCTAGTCTATCAATTTAATTATGTGTCACTAAAAGAAATAAAATATTACATGATGAATGAAAATAAAAAATACCTGAATCTTTAAAGATTCATGTTGAGACTACTTAAATTGGGTCGCTTAAAATGACTTAATTCCATGGTGTTGAAGTTACATGAACAAATTATATTTGTTTAACGTAACCCAGTTATGTGGAACCTGTTGACATTTTTTTTATTATTTAAAGCCAACTTACCATTTTTTTGAGTGTACAGGCTGATTCCAGTTTGCACACTTCACAAAAGCACTGAGTAAACGCTCTTCTTAAGGGTATTTCCCAGAGAGCGACTTATACTTCATCAGATAAGACAGAAGGAAAGAAAGAGAAGAAAGGAAAGCATTTGCCTGACCAAATCTTCCATTAGATAATGAAAAAGCTCTGACAGACCAGTTCTGGCCACATGAATGGCAGTAAATTCAGAGCACACCCTCTCCAGCTATTTATTCATCTGTTGTCATGGCAGTAATGTGTGTTTCATTACAGACGGCCCACGTTATAATGAATAGGAATGTGCTTTTCTCTATTCCGCATGATTTGGTGGTCAAAAAACATGTCTTTCCGTCCTGCAGGCTGGAGCTTCTAATGTCTCTCATGTCTTATTATTGCAGCACAAGGTGAAGCACTTAAGGTGCCGAGCTTCTGAGTGCCGGCTAATGAATTTTAGAGTGTTTTGAAATAGTTTTTCTCCTTTCATCTGTGCTTGTACCTGTGGAGTGCAGGGAACAGCTTTCTGTGTCACAATCAACGTCACAACCATATCAAAAACCGTCTTTTGAAGAATAAACGTCTCTATGATCCTTCAGTGATTCGTCAAACATCGCACACTGTGTGCACTACAAACATTTTCAATGTAGCTAAAAGAGTCTCCAAGACTGCATTTATTTGATCAAAAATACAGTAAAAACAGTGAAATATTATTACAATCTAAAATAGCGGGTTTCTGTTTGAATATATTTTTAAATGTAATTTATTCCTGTGATCAAAGCTGAATTTTCACCTTCATTACGCCAGTCTTCAGTGTCACATGATCCTTCAGAAATGCTTCATATTTTTGTGGGAACAGAATGTTTTTCAGGATTCTTTGATGAATAGAAAGTTCAGCATTTATTTGAAATGCTTTTGTAACATTATAAATGTCTTGTTTTTGATCAATTTAATGCGTCCCTGCTGAATAAATACATTCTTCAGAACTCCTCTGAAACGAATACAGAAGCTGACAAAAAATAAATAAATACAAATGTATGTTTTGCACCACATGAATTTGAATCACTCACCTGCATCATCTATGCATGGCTGTTCTCCTCACACACACACACACACACACACACACACACACACACACACACACACACACTGTCCAGACCTGCCAAAAACAGCAAAGCTCAGTGAGGTTACATTTGCATTCACATAATAAACACTAACCCGCAGGCTAGCCGGCTAGTAAAAATAAGTAGCTGTGCAAGCCCTATTGAGAATATGTTCAAATCGTGCGGTTCAGTGCAGAACTCTCTCCTTTTGTTCTTTATTTGTGGGCCTTTAAAAGAGACGCTCGTCTCTGTTCATCCATCTTCACTAAACAGCCAATTTGGTGTTTTGAGGTTTGTGCGTTTGAGTCGGACTCTCATTCCATTGGCTTCCACATAACATCTTACACACTATTCTTCACACACTTTATTCGGCCCGCAGCACAACATGGGTCAACTTCAAAAGACGGCCGATGCGCTGAGGGAAAAGACCCTCGGGGCAGAGGGAACAAGAAGGAATTGATAAAGGAGACAACACTCTATAAAGGGGCCAGAACAGGCAGCCAGACTTAAAGGACACACAGAAACAGTGAATACAAATGACTGCAGAACTGGAAAAACAGCCAGTGCCAAACAAATCCTCTCCAAAAGCACTGGAGAACAGAGCGAGAGACACCGACTCTTGATTAATGATACTTTCTCACACAAAGCTGCTGCTAATAGCCTGGGATTTGATTGCTTTCATGTTCAGAGTCAACTTCTGACTCAACCAATGACGCGAGTTTAGGGCGGGGCCATCAGTTTGAAAATGTTGCTAATATTTTTAATACCAACAACGTAAAGGAGTAGTTCACTTTTTAAAAAAAACTTCTGCTGATAATTTACTCGCCCCCATGTCATCCAAGATGTCCATGTCTTTCTTTCTTCAGTCGAAAAGAAATTAAGGTTTTTGATGAAAACATTCCAGGATTTTCTCCATATAATGGACTTCAATGGGGTCCAAACGGTTCAAGGTCCAAACGAGAGTTTCAGTGCAGCTTCAAAGGGCTTTAAACGTTGCAAAATGTTGCAATTGTGAGACACAGACTCGGAATTCTGAGAAGAAATGTCGCAGTTGTGAGGCACAAACTCGGAATTCTGAGGAGAAGTGTCGCAGTTGTGAGACACAAACTCGGAATTCTGAGGACAAGTGTCGCAGTTGTGAGGCACAAACTCGGAATTCTGAGGAGAAGTGTCGCAGTTGTGAGGCACAAACTCGGAATTCTGAGGAGAAGTGTCGCAGTTGTGAGGCACAAACTCGGAATTCTGAGGAGAAGTGTCGCAGTTGTGAGGCACAAACTCGGAATTCTGAGGAGAAGTGTCGCAGTTGTGAGGCACAAACTCGGAATTCTGAGAGAAGTGTCGCAGTTGTGAGGCACAAACTCGGAATTCTGAGGAGAAGTGTCGCAGTTGTGAGGCACAAACTCGGAATTCTGAGGAGAAGTGTCGCAGTTGTGAGACACAAACTCGGAATTCTGAGGACAAGTGTCGCAGTTGTGAGGCACAAACTCGGAATTCTGAGGAGAAGTGTCGCAGTTGTGAGGCACAAACTCGGAATTCTGAGGAGAAGTGTCGCAGTTGTGAGGCACAAACTCGGAATTCTGAGGAGAAGTGTCGCAGTTGTGAGGCACAAACTCGGAATTCTGAGGAGAAGTGTCGCAGTTGTGAGGCACAAACTCGGAATTCTGAAGAAAAGTGTCGCAGTTGTGAGGCACAAACTCGGAATTCTGAGGAGAAGTGTCGCAGTTGTGAGGCACAAACTCGGAATTCTGAGGAGAAGTGTCGCAGTTGTGAGGCACAAACTCGGAATTCTGTGGAGAAGTGTCGCAGTTGTGAGGCACAAACTCGGAATTCTGAGGAGAAGTGTCGCAGTTGTGAGGCACAAACTCGGAATTCTGAGGAGAAGTGTCGCAGTTGTGAGGCACAAACTCGGAATTCTGTGGAGAAGTGTCGCAGTTGTGAGGCACAAACTCGGAATTCTGTGGAGAAGTGTCGCAGTTGTGAGGCACAAACTCGGAATTCTGAGGAGAAGTGTCGCAGTTGTGAGGCACAAACTCGGAATTCTGAGGAGAAGTGTCGCAGTTGTGAGGCACAAACTCGGAATTCTGAGGAGAAGTGTCGCAGTTGTGAGGCACAAACTCGGAATTCTGAGGAGAAGTGTCGCAGTTGTGAGGCACAAACTCGGAATTCTGAGAAGTGTCGCAGTTGTGAGGCACAAACTCGGAATTCTGAGGAGAAGTGTCGCAGTTGTGAGGCACAAACTCGGAATTCTGAGGAGAAGTGTCGCAGTTGTGAGGCACAAACTCGGAATTCTGAGGAGAAGTGTCGCAGTTGTGAGGCACAAACTCGGAATTCTGAGGAGAAGTGTCGCAGTTGTGAGGCACAAAACTCGGAATTCTGAGGAGAAGTGTCGCAGTTGTGAGGCACAAACTCGGAATTCTGAGGAGAAGTGTCGCAGTTGTGAGGCACAAACTCGGAATTCTGTGGAGAAGTGTCGCAGTTGTGAGGCACAAACTCGGAATTCTGAGGAGAAGTGTCGCAGTTGTGAGGCACAAACTCGGAATTCTGAGGAGAAGTGTCGCAGTTGTGAGGCACAAACTCGGAATTCTGAGGAGAAGTGTCGCAGTTGTGAGGCACAAACTCGGAATTCTGAGGAGAAGTGTCGCAGTTGTGAGGCACAAACTCGGAATTCTGAGGAGAAGTGTCGCAGTTGTGAGGCACAAACTCGGAATTCTGAGGAGAAGTGTCGCAGTTGTGAGGCACAAACTCGGAATTCTGAGGAGAAGTGTCGCAGTTGTGAGGCACAAACTCGGAATTCTGTGGAGAAGTGTCGCAGTTGTGAGGCACAAACTCGGAATTCTGAGGAAAAGTGTCGCAGTTGTGAGGCACAAACTCGGAATTCTGAGGAGAAGTGTCGCAGTTGTGAGGCACAAACTCGGAATTCTGAGGAGAAGTGTCGCAGTTGTGAGGCACAAACTCGGAATTCTGAGGAGAAGTGTCGCAGTTGTGAGGCACAAACTCGGAATTCTGAGGAGAAGTGTCGCAGTTGTGAGGCACAAACTCGGAATTCTGAGGAGAAGTGTCGCAGTTGTGAGGCACAAACTCGGAATTCTGAGGAGAAGTGTCGCAGTTGTGAGGCACAAACTCGGAATTCTGAGGAGAAGTGTCGCAGTTGTGAGGCACAAACTCGGAATTCTGAGGAGAAGTGTCGCAGTTGTGAGGCACAAACTCGGAATTCTGAGGAGAAGTGTCGCAGTTGTGAGGCACAAACTCGGAATTCTGAGGAGAAGTGTCGCAGTTGTGAGGCACAAACTCGGAATTCTGAGAAGTGTCGCAGTTGTGAGGCACAAACTCGGAATTCTGAGGAGAAGTGTCGCAGTTGTGAGGCACAAACTCGGAATTCTGAGGAGAAGTGTCGCAGTTGTGAGGCACAAACTCGGAATTCTGAGGAGAAGTGTCGCAGTTGTGAGGCACAAACTCGGAATTCTGAGGAGAAGTGTCGCAGTTGTGAGGCACAAACTCGGAATTCTGAGGAGAAGTGTCGCAGTTGTGAGGCACAAACTCGGAATTCTGAGGAGAAGTGTCGCAGTTGTGAGGCACAAACTCGGAATTCTGAGGAGAAGTGTCGCAGTTGTGAGGCACAAACTCGGAATTCTGAGGAGAAGTGTCGCAGTTGTGAGGCACAAACTCGGAATTCTGAGGAGAAGTGTCGCAGTTGTGAGGCACAAACTCGGAATTCTGAGAAGTGTCGCAGTTGTGAGGCACAAACTCGGAATTCTGAGGAGAAGTGTCGCAGTTGTGAGGCACAAACTCGGAATTCTGAGGAGAAGTGTCGCAGTTGTGAGGCACAAACTCGGAATTCTGTGGAGAAGTGTCGCAGTTGTGAGGCACAAACTCGGAATTCTGAGGAGAAGTGTCGCAGTTGTGAGGCACAAACTCGGAATTCTGAGGAGAAGTGTCGCAGTTGTGAGGCACAAACTCGGAATTCTGAGGAGAAGTGTCGCAGTTGTGAGCACAAACTCGGAATTCTGAGGAGAAGTGTCGCAGTTGTGAGGCACAAAACTCGGAATTCTGAGAAGTGTCGCAGTTGTGAGGCACAAACTCGGAATTCTGAGGAGAAGTGTCGCAGTTGTGAGGCACAAACTCGGAATTCTGAGGAGAAGTGTCGCAGTTGTGAGGCACAAACTCGGAATTCTGAGGAGAAGTGTCGCAGTTGTGAGGCACAAACTCGGAATTCTGAGGAGAAGTGTCGCAGTTGTGAGGCACAAACTCGGAATTCTGTGGAGAAGTGTCGCAGTTGTGAGGCACAAACTCGGAATTCTGAGGAGAAGTGTCGCAGTTGTGAGGCACAAACTCGGAATTCTGAGGAGAAGTGTCGCAGTTGTGAGGCACAAACTCGGAATTCTGAGGAGAAGTGTCGCAGTTGTGAGGCACAAACTCGGAATTCTGAGGAGAAGTGTCGCAGTTGTGAGGCACAAACTCGGAATTTCTGAGGAGAAGTGTCGCAGTTTGTGAGGCACAAACTCGGAATTCTGA